ATGTGCTCTCATCAATTCCTCTTCACATAATGGCTGTTCACTGCATCCCTAAGTCCATTAAGAAGATGCTGGAGAGGAAAATGGCCAATTTCTTGTGGGGAAATAAACAAGGGAATTCTAAACATCACTGGAGTAAATGGAGCAAGTTATGTGCTCCTACAGAGGAAGGAGGGCTGGGAATCAGGAGTCTTGAGGATACCCAAGAAGCATATTCTATTAAACTTTGGTGGAAGGTTCAGACTGATGAAACCCTATGGGCTAAATACATGAGAGCCAGGTATATGAAGCTGAATTCCATCCAAGAAAGAATCCATGACTCACCAGTTTGGAAAAGGATTTGCAGGGTAAATATCACAGCCTCAACTCAGACCAACCTAAATGGAGATTAGATTTCTTGGAAAGATGGTGATTTCACACTCAAGAAAGCATATAACATATGCAGGGATAGTAAGCCATCACAAATCACCTACTCATTCTGCTGGAATAAGAATCAAGTCCCAAAAGTAAAATTTTTCCTATGGAGAGCTATTAACTCCTATCTTCATTTTGCTATGGAACTGAAGAAATTAGGTTTTCAACTGGCCACCCAATGTCCCCTTTGCAAGTGTAATGAAGACACCAAAGACCATGTTCTCTTCCAATGCCCTTGGAGCCAAAGCATTTGGCAATTCTTCTCTCAAGCAGTGGATGGTCCTAATCCTAGAAATCATCTAAACTTCAATCAAAATATTATGGAATGGAACCTCTCTCACAGAAGAACATCCCTAAAAGGTCAATTGAAAAGTATTCTTCCGGGGATAATATCTTGGCACATATGGAAAGAATTCAATAGGAGCAGATTTGAAAATGAAGCACCCAACTCGCAGAGAGTTAGAAAAGGAATATTCAACACTATTCACACTTGGAGTTGGGGGAAGAGAAACAAAAGTTGGATGGTTTTGGATGAAAGCCTTACTAACCTTGGATTCACCTTGTTTTTCCAATCGGGAAGGAATCTACATCACAAGGAAGCTGAACGGCGAGGAATGCGGAACATATTAAGCAGGCCAGGTGAAGAAGCCGAAGCTGTTGAAAATCTTTGGTGAAGAAGACGATGATTTTGAAGAAGATGAAGATGTTGGGAGAAGTATTATGTTGGGTTCTTCCGCGAACTTTTCTTGTATTAGTTGTGATGTTCTAATTAGTACAGGCTTTTTGTTTTCTTCATCCTCTTGTATTTTGTTTTTACTTTCGGGGCGTTGGTATAGTCCTCCTCGAACGTGTACTTCTCTGTCTTTTTAATAAATTTGGTAAGGCCGGACTGGACCTTACCCCATCGATTTTGGTGGTTCTCTTCCGGGTTAAAATATATATATATATATATATATATATATATATATATATATATATATATATATATATATATATATATATAAAATATAATAATGTTAATATTATAGACTTATTATTTGTGATTATGTAATGTGCTCTAATTTATCATTATGTCTATAGTTTTACTCTAATTGTAACCTCCGCTATAATAATAATAATAATGCATAATAAATAATAACAATAATTGAGACTCTTCAAGTGCCTAAGCCGTTTTATAAAAAAATCTATTATTCAATCAATACACATTAATTTATTTATTTCTCACAATAATAAAAAAAACTTAATCTACTAATTTGATATATTTGTATATGTGCATTTTTTTAAAAAGGTACAATTAGAATTATTTGATAAATAAAATTGTAGATTCTGGCAATCGACATATACATTTGTTTTTTTTAAATAGTAGATTCTGGCAATGATTTGGAAAAAACAGATATATGACTAAAGGTTAGGATCAACGAGCCCATAAAGTTCAAAATAATAATTAATTTATAATTTATTTTCAGTTATGGGTAACCTCACCAAGCTTGAATTTACTGCCCTTGACATTTCCGAAAGAACTATTTGACATGGGTTCTTGATGTTGAGATTCATTTGAATGCAATGAACCTTGGAAATGCTATTAAGGAAAATGGTGGGGCTAGCGAACAAGAAAATGCAAAGGCAATGATTTTCATACGTCATCATCTTCATGAAGGCCTGAAGTCCGAATATATTGGGGTCAAAGACCCTGCGACTCTTTGGAGTGACTTGGAGGAGAGATACAACCATCTAAAAAGTGTGATACTTCCAAAGGCTCGTTATGATTGGATGCAACTAAGGTTGCAAGATTTCAAAACAGTAAATGAGTATAATTCTGCTATGTTTAGGATTGTATATCAATTAAGGTTGTGTGGAGACACCGTCACTGATGCTGAAATGTTAGAGAAAACATTTACCACTTTTCATGCCTCTAACATGCTTTTGCAGCAGCAGTATCGAGAAAAAGGATTTACTAAGTATTCCCAACTTATCTCTTGTCTCCTTGTTGCTGAACAAAATAATGATCTTCTCATGAAAAATCATAACTCTCGCCCTACTAGCTCTCAACCATTCCCCGCAGCGAATGCAATCAATTTATTCCCAGAAGCGAATGCTAATTTTCGTGGACGAGGGCGTGCTCGTGGTCGCAGTCGTGGCCGTGGTTTTGATCGTGGTTATGGGCGAGGTCGAGGATGATATACCCCGGGGTACACCTTCACACACGCCACTAGTATTAAAAGAAATCAAGTGTTTAATGTCTAGGTGTTATGATCCATTTTGGGTTGAACTCATTGATCCATCCCACACCAAAACCCAAACCATGACCTATCTCTCCCAAAACCCAACCTAGGCCGAAATGCCTACAAGCCCAACCCACTCCCACATATCCAAAGTATTTTTACTACTCAAATAAAGCCCTTTTCCTCTCCTTTGAAGCCCTGGCCAAAATTGAAAGGAAAAGTACAACCCAAAATAATGTGTGTGTTGTTTTATTCCCTAAATATTCCTTTCNTACACCTTCACACACGCCACTAGTATTAAAAGAAATCAAGTGTTTAATGTCTAGGTGTTATGATCCATTTTGGGTTGAACTCATTGATCCATCCCACACCAAAACCCAAACCATGACCTATCTCTCCCAAAACCCAACCTAGGCCGAAATGCCTACAAGCCCAACCCACTCCCACATATCCAAAGTATTTTTACTACTCAAATAAAGCCCTTTTCCTCTCCTTTGAAGCCCTGGCCAAAATTGAAAGGAAAAGTACAACCCAAAATAATGTGTGTGTTGTTTTATTCCCTAAATATTCCTTTCATCAAATAAGAACCTTCCCAATCCCTTCCTACTTCAAAGTCATGAAAATATGCCCCCATCTGTCCTTAAAATCAGTCCCCATCCATCACAAACATCCCCCACTACAAGAGGAACAAACCAGGGGACAAGGAATAAAACATGTCTTTTGTCCTGTTGTGATAATACATCAAACCCACACCCTTTCACACCCATGGCTGAATTCAGCCCCCCAAATATCCCATTTATCACCCTTCAAATCCACAATAAAACCAAAGGAATAAAGGATAATCCTTAATGTATTATTCCTCATGTGTGGACCAAAAATCCAGCCCCTCACCTCACCTTTCACATAACCAAACCACTCCCTTCCCTCACCCTTCACATGGCCGAAATCCCCTCATCAAAGACACCCCATATTCACCCTTTAACACTGATCAATGAGGACAAACCAAAGGCATCACACAAATGGATATTATACACTTGATTTTAGGAAAGTGGTAGGAAGCTTCCCCTTAGCTTTCCTTCCCCTTATTTATTTCGGCCAAGGGCCTTGTAATGCAGGACCAGATTGTATTTTATTTCCCTTTACTCTTTGAGTAAAATCTTTGAATTAGTGTGAAGCTAGTTCTCCCCATTTCCTAATGAAAATCTCTAAAAATGGCTACTTTTGAGTGTGTGTTAGGAGTCTATTTCGTATAATAGTAGTGAATATTATTGTGTGAAAAGAAATAGCCCCAAATAAAATAAGAGTGTGTTTATCTCTTATTCATTATTTGGTTTATCCTTATACAACCAGAAAACCACCAAAGAACTTCCTTTTTCTCTCCCAATTTTTTCCATCCCCTTTCCCCCATTTAAACACTTCATTTCTCCATCAAAAACCACTCCAAAATATTGTTTTTCTCCTGCCCTTTATTCTGCCCTATCACCTCTTCCAAACATCCATACTTTCTTCACCATTTTATACTCAAATCCAACCTATTCTTCACCATATATTCCCCTCTATAATCTACCCTTATTTATCCATAGCCTTTTCCTAAGCTTGGGCACATCAGTTGGTATCAGAGTGTCGTATCTCCGAGTAAAGGGTTAGTTTTCTCTCCGAGTGTCGTATCTCTTGAGGAGTGGACGAAGGGAATTAGTTTAATTACTCTTGGTTAGGCGAAGATTAGGATTGGTTTGTGAAAGTCTTCTCGGAACGATTATAAAAGGAGTAGAGTAAAAATAATAAATTAAGTTTACATAGTATAAGTATAGATCTGGACCTAGGGTCTCGACATCATTTGGATCTATTTTATCATATTAAATTAACAATAGGAATAATAATATTTCTATTACTACTCATCCATTTCTAGATTTGTACTTAATCCGTTGTTCTTGAATATCGTAGCCTTTTGGCATACAATATTTTCTCAATAAATAGCTAATTAAATCTTTCGACATTAATTAACTAAATAAGGCAAGAGCAATTGACTAACCATTCCAACATCAATTTAACATAAAAAATAAACAACCAAACTAGTCCGGACCCAGAGATCCGGAACCTAACTCATACTATGCAAACATAAATTAAAATAGCATTTTATTAAATAAAGAAAACTTACAACCTCCGTAAAAGCGGAACAGAATAGATCTGGAGTCAAAACCTCCGGAAAATACTTCAAACTAACTACTAAAACTAATATACAAGCTAAAATGGAGACGGGATATGTAAATCCCGAAGTTGGGATGGAATAGGATGATAAAAATGAGAGAGATCGCGCTGTATTTATAGGAATGGATCCAAGGCGTCCAAGTCAAAGCATCCAAGTCCAAGCGTCCAGATCTGGACGCCTGAGCTGTCCCGGCCAACCAGGTATTGCCACGTGTCATTCTTGGGCTGCAATTAAGCTGAAGCGTCCAACTCCCAAGCGTCCAACTTGGCCAAGCGTCCAAGTTGGACGCCTTAGGCCCTTCCTTTGTTGGGCTTCGCGGCTGGTTCGTGATTTCGGCCCAATTTCGCTCCGTTTTGGCCCCGAACACTATTTTTGATCTCCCGGAAGCTCGTTCAAGCCCAAATCTTGATCCTTTGATGATTGATTCCCTTTTTCTCAAGTATTTGAACATAAAATGGATGATTTATGATAATTTCATGTGGAATCCCATTTTATGACTCTTAGAACGAAAATGAGAGTTTTATTCATTGAAATCACATTTTATAAGATGATTAAATACTATTTACGTGCAATAACATTTAGAATATGATGTAAATGATAAGAACGAAATGGACTTATCACCCTACTCCCACTTCATCCTTTTTCCTATCAACCATGTCAAACCGATCCCGAAGCATGTCTCATGAAGAACTCGTAGCCGCAAACGCTGCCTTGCAAGCTCAGGTGGAATACCTAGCCAAAGAAGTGGCTAAGCTCACGAAGCAAAAGATGTCCATGTTGCAAGATAGTGAAGATGAAGAGGAAGCTAGCTCTAGTAACACCATGAGAGCTAGGGCTCATGAAAAGTCCCATTCTGACTTCAAAGTTGATATTCCAATCTTTGAAGGGAAGAATGACCCGGATGAATTTCTTGAGTGGTTAGAGAC